CAGCAGCCACTGGCTCAGCAGGAGCCAGGAGCCAACGCCTGGCAGCCAGGTAAGGTTTGGAGACAGACATCACCCGAGAGAGGAGGGTCAAGCTGCAAAGTTCTTTTGCTCTGACCACGAGCCATTTCTGAACAGCTCCAGAAACAAATTTAGAGGCCTGCAGCCACCCAGAGAAACACACGTTCTTGAAGAGCTCAAAAAATAGCAACTCTGAGAAGAGCTGCTGGGAGGATGCAGTAGGCAGACAAGGAAAAAAACTCCCAGCGTGACATGGTAGAAGGACAGCCAGAGCTCCGTGGATATAAAACTGGCAATTGCACGTAAAGGCGGCTCAGCTGCGGGCTGGACTGGGTGGTGCAATGACTGGTGACACTGGCACACAGGCCACGTTCGTTCCTAAGAGGTGGTGGTACAGAGGAAAGCCTCAACAATCATTTAAGGCCTGAAAAAAGCATTGAAATGAAAGAGGTTTGAAAAACTCAGTACTGGGTGAGCTGGTACAGAGCCTAATGTATCTTTGCAAAGAGAAAATAGTGTCTTGAAGGGCTCTAATGTAGTAAAAAAAAAAAAGGCACAACAGGAATTTAAAGACTGGAAGGACTCAAAGGCAGGCCCTCTAAGTCAGCCAGACATTAACCAGCAAAACCCAGTACTGAGACAAGCGGCAGGTTCACAACCTTCCTGCACCTTTGAATCAAAGACACTTCTCTAGAAAGCACATGCCCACCAAACACCGGAGTCAAACAAATTCCCAGGCTCAAATCTGGAATAATTGTTTTATTGATCATGTAGAGGCAGAAAAGCAGCTCCCAACAAACAAGTGAGCAGCTTAAGCTCTCTGATGTGAGTCCAAGGCACCAACCATCCGACTGCTGGGCACAGAGGAGGGCGTGAAGGCCCTGTGCTCCTCAAACCGCTCCAGACCTGGCTGCAGAACAAACCTGGGCCTTTCCGAGGAGAATCTAACAACCTGCAAGTTGCACCATGGACAATCTCCTTCCTTCCCGTGGGGGCAGTAAGTCAGAAGTCCCCTTACACGGCCAGCGAGGCTGTGAACAAGCCCTGCCACTGTCAGTAACTGGTGCTGAGAAAGGTGGTGTCAGGTCTCTTACCAGTGCTGTATCCGTGAGAGCCGTAGCCGCTGGGCTGCTGAAAAGGGGTTGCTGATGCGTTGACGCTGACATTCACACCATGCTGCTTGGAAGAGGTAGGAGCAACCTACAGAAAGAAGAGGAGCAGAGTAAGGAAGAGGCTTCGCTGCGTTGCCCCAGCCCCACACCCTGCTGCTGGGACACTCACAGGGAACACGGCGGGCCCGTATTGGAAGGTGCTGGGGAGCCCTGGTACCCCTGTGTAGTACGGCAGACTGGTGTAACTGTAGCCCGGAGGCAGCGCTGGGTTCAGGAACGTCTGCTGCGTGGTGTGGTGAGTCTGGGTCTGGCTCTGCTGAGGTTGGGCCAAAGTCGTTGCAGGAGCAGGGGAAGAGGCATCACCTCGGCCAAATTTTGTTAAGTCACCTGGAATCAGAGAATCATCTCAGTTGGAAGAGACCCTAAAGCTCCTCCAGCCCAACCACGAACCTCCCCCAGATCCCTCAGCGCTGGCTCAGCCCGACTCTTCAACCCCCCCAGGGATCCCGGGGACTCCCCCCTGCCCTGGGCAGCCCATTCCAACGCCCAACAGCCCCTTCTGCACAGAAATCCTTCCTCAGAGCCAGCCTGACCCTGCCCTGGGCAGCTTGAGGCCATTCCCTCGGGGCCTGGCGCTGGGGCCTTGGCTCCAGAGACTCATCCCCCCTCTCTGCCCCCTCCTGGCAGGGAGTTGCAGAGGGCCAGGAGGTCTCCCCTCAGCCTCCTCTTCTCCAGACTGAACCCCACCCCCGTTCCCTCAGAGCTCCTCATACACTGGAGATGAAAGGGGCCTGAAGAACAGACAATGTCAAATTCTGGCCCATTCGAGCTCAGTCCAAAGGTCACCCAGTCTTTTGATCAAGGGTGACTTCAATCAACCCCCCTCCTAAAGGCTGCAGCTCTCCCAAGCCCTCAGGCCCTTGCACACTGATAAGGGCTAAGCTGTTAATTGCTCTCCTCATTTCAGAAGAAGACTTCAGAGGGGAAGGGAAACCCACAGCAGCTAAACTACATGATGTCAGACTACGGTCTGGCGCTGGATTAACCTGCCACTGCCTGCACAGCAACAGAGCCCAGATGCCAGAGCTCTCGCTGAGTGCCCCCCCCAGCAGATGCCAGAGCTCTCCCTGAGCCCCTCTAAGCATCAGCAGGTCAGAACACAACTCGAGTCCCTCCAGAGCCAGGCCCCAGGCCAAAGAAGCAGCCTGGGGGCCCTGTCCTATTGGCCAACAGCTCCGCATTGAAGAAGAGAGTCAAATATCTTCCAGTTGAGGATGTGTGAATGGCCCCTTTTTACAGCAGGGCTCACACCTCCCCTCTCTCTCCTTGGGGCAGGGAATCAAATGCTGCTGCAGAGGCCCAGGAGCTCGCAGAGAGCACTCAGACATCAGACATCGCTTCCTCTCTCTCCCCAGCCTGGGCACTGCAAGGGTTTGGCTGCAGGGCTCGGGGAAGCTCCTTTTGCAGCTCTTTCTGAGCACCTGCTTGGCACTTCCATGCAAACACTCTCTCTATTCAGAGCTCACACAGTAAGCCAGTGAGTTTTCTCAGTGCTGCCCCAGCTCACAAGTGGGTCCAGGATAGCCACAAACATTAATTATGGCCGATGTTAACTTGGCAAATTAGGCATGCAGCAGTGCTGCACTCTGAGCTTGGGATTTCAGCCTTGGCGTGCCAGGCAAAAGCAGTTCTGCACAAACAAGCTCCTGCTGAAGCAGAGAAGTGGTGCTGGAAAAAAAAGAAAGAGCAATCTACAAAATGCAACAATTCCTAAAGCACGTGAAAGCTCAGCACACCGATGACCACTGCGAATCAGCAGTGTGAGTAAACACACCTACCAAGGTCAGGGAGAGATAAGCCACTCACTGGGAATTTGGTTTCAATTTGACAGGTCCTAAACTCCCTGTTTTCTTTCTCCATGAGGTTGTCACATAGATAAGAAACAATTTCTCCAGATTTTGTGTTTCTTTGCATTTTTAAAGTGCTTGAAAAGCACTGCTTAACCCCTGCCTCACCACGACCTGAGCAGTTTTACGCCTCACAGATTCTTTCAGCCCTTCCTCACTCCTCTTCCAACTGCGACATCAACTCCTGCTTGTCCACATCTTCCTGCTAACACGCCTCAGCACCACCAGACGATCAAAGGGAAGAATTTAGCTGCTGAGAAACATTCCCCAGACCAAAGGCTGGTGCAGACGTAGTTCCAGCACAGGAAACTGGTAAGCAGCAGCACAAACACCTGATGAGATATGCAGTCAGAGCGGGTTTTTTCCCTACCAGAGTACGGATTGCTGCTCAGGCTGCCATCTCTTCCAGTCAGCGGGGTGGTGGGTGTAGGGAATGGGATGCTGTAGTAATCCTGAAGGATAAAAACAAAAGGGAGAAGTAGTTTTATGAGCTCTGTCCAAAGATCTAAAGCAGCACCCTTTGAGAAAAAGAGGAATTTCTAGGCTGCAGCCACAGGTATGTTGGAGTATTGCAGTTCAACCAGCCACGCCGCGGCTGATCACAGCCTACAGCAACCCCAGGTTTTTGTAGCATGCACCATCCCCCTCACCTGGCTATGAGAAGAACCAGATAAGGTCTACTGGTATGCAGTCCTTAAACTGCCTGGACTTTCCCCTCCACAACACAAGGGACACGTCATATCGCTAAATAAAACCCATTCTCAAAAAAGTATTTAGTCACTGCCTCTTTCAAGGATCACAGGTGTCTCCAACAGGTCGCCAACACCACTGCAGGGCAAAACAGCTCTGCTGTAGCTCTCACATTCCTTAGCCCCACCATTAATGCCACTGTCTGAATAACTAGCGCTCCCAACTCCCCAGGCGCAAGGGAGCAATGGATGACTCCTCACTGTTGCCACGAGGAGGTGCATCAGCCAGCAGCCTGTTTTCCAGCTCTCCAGGACAGCCTCAGCACCTGCCCTGTCCGACGCCCGCAGCAGGCACCCGCGGGCCCCCGGCAGCCCTCGGTACTCACCAACGGGAATCTCGTCTGGAGCATCTGCAAGTCATCATATCCATACACCTGTGGCTAGAAAAAGAGGAGATGATGTCAGGGACACAGACTAAAGACACTTGCCTATTTTTAGATTAAACATTTAGATAAATGTGAGAGAAAGCCAGCAGCAGACAATCAGAGGCTACACAATAACCTCGGCACAGGCAGCCAGCGGTTGCTACCGCAAGACTTGACACTGCCAAGAGTTGTTTTTATCAGCTGCTGAAACAAAGAGTGAGCACCAGTGTCTAGCACCACCGATCCAGACCACTAAAAGGCACTCAATTTTCCTCTAGAAATTATTTCAACACTGACATCTGCCCTCACCTTCAGAAGAGTGCTGTGACACACCCCTAGACTGTGGCAGTCACCACCCACGTTCTGTTTGGCCTCTGTCAGACCAGCTAATCCAGCTCTGCACTTTCACGAGCTGTGCTCTGAGCAAGGGCTGTTGCTCCCCAAAGCTTGGGGAGGCTGTGGAGAACAGGCAGACAGAATCTGCTCTGGGGTGACCAGAATGACAGATGTGCCCCACAGGCACGTGGATTTCCTCTGCTACTGTTTTATGGAAAACAGCAGGTCCAAATTCTTCCCATCCAAAGCAGTCCTGCTGGGCTGATGTTACAGCTTTTGGTCCCTTCACTAGACTCCACCCCTCCCTGCTAGCTGAAGACAGAGCTAGGAGGGATCTAGTGGCATGACAGGACACCCCACTCACCGGATAGGCATGTAGCAACCCTGGAGCCATGATGTATGGATTAGGCAACAACGGTGGGACTCCAGGAGGGAGATTGGGAGGGGCTTTTCCTGAGAAAAGAAGAGAAAGGAAAAGTTCCGCAGTGAAGCAAAGAGCAGAAGCTGCCTCTCTTAGCCCCCAACACCCTCCTCCTGTTTAGCAGTACCCAGGAAAGTACCTGATGTTGTTGCAACGGAGCTGCGAGTCGAGGCCGTCACCGTGGAGTTACTGCTGAGGCTGAGGCCCAGGCTGCTGACGCTGCTGAGACTGGATGAAACACTTACGACTGGTGGGGCGGCTGACACTGTGCTGGAGGAGGTGGAGAAAGTGCTAGCAGAAGAATGGAGGCTTGCTTCACTCTCCACACTTGTGTGCTAGGGAAGGAAGGGAAGAGAGTTAGGGGACCAGGCAGATGTAACCGAGCGCAGAAATACTGCAGGATGCTGCCTACGCAGAAAATATTGCGTGGGTCCATCTGCACCCGGACGTTCCCGAGAGCCTGCAATGAACTCGGCCGCTGCAGGCTACAAAGAAACCTGCTTTGCATCTGGCTCAAGTCCAAAGTCCTGATAGCAGCCAACCCCTAATGCTTCCAAGCCTCTTGCGTGGCTGTGTCCCAACACGTCTGTCTGCTGGGAGAAGCAGGGCTGAACGCCGCGCTTGCGGCAGGGAGATTTATTCTGCTGCAGAAGCCAACACCCAGGGAGTCTGTACTGCAGGAGCTCCAGCAGTATACACACGTCTGAACAGGGCCACTCCATCAGCTACCAGTTTGCCCCAACATCCAGCAGCGCTTTCAAGGGCAGCTACAGGCCCAAAAGAAGCCACCGCTATATCTAGAACAGGCAAGGTGTCAAACACCAAGCCAGAGGTGCACAGTTGTGACAGAACCCTCTGTCCTCTCTCCACACAACACCCAAACTGCAGCACAACAACCAGCAGCCCGACAGCTCCTGTCAGAACTGCAGGCCCTGCTGGCCACGCAGCTGAGGTGGGGCAGGCTGGAGGGCTCCCAGCCGTGCTGGAACAGGGGTACAGAGCGCTCGAGCACACCCAGACTCACCAGAAGAGTTGAAGTTGACGTTCGCCCAGAAGATGTGGATGAGGACAGACTGTTCTGCTGGGTGGGTAATGTACTGCAGGAGGAATAAAAGGTTGTCAAGCCGAGGTGTGCGAGTCACCATCGGGAGCACCAGGCCAGATCCCATTCCCCATCTACTCAGATGGGATGAGTCAGGGAAACACAGAATCATTCAGGTTGGAAAAGCCCCTCAGGATCAGCGAGTCCAACCCTCAGTCTGACTCTACAAAGCTCTCCCCTACCCCACATCCCTCCACAGCTCATCCCAACGGCCCTGAAACACCCCCAGGGATGGGGAATCCCCTCTCCCTGGGCAGCCTGTTCCACTCTGACCACTTTCTGTGGAGGTTAGCTCAAATAACTGGAGAGGAAAAAATCATCCTTTGCATAACAGAAAGGATCCTTACATCGATCTCTTCAATACCTATCTTGTATTGCTAGCTTGTGAAATTGTTGGGAGACTTACTCTTAACAGCATAGAAACTGTAGCTGTTTTTAATAGGTAGGTCTTAGGCAGCCCAGTTATTTAAAAAGAAAAAAAACCCCACCAAATAGTAAACTACAGATCCAGCATCTCTTTCCATAAAGCCTCAGCTGGTGTCACTGGACCCAGCTCTGCTGCTGTAGCCAGCCCACCCCACAGGGAGGATTTGGCCCAGTATGTCTTAATGTCCAGTCTAAATTTCCTCATGTCCAGTCTCAACCTCCCCTGTTGCAGTTTAAAGCCCTTCCCTCTTGTTCTATTGCTAAAACCCTGTGAGAAGAGACCAGCACCAACCTCTATACAATGTCCTTTCAGAGCGTGATACAGACTTTGATATGCACTGCAGATCCCTGTTTCTAGTTCTGCTTTTCTTTCTCCTCACCTGCTGAGCTGGGCGGTGGTCGTACTGGGGAGTTCCTCACTGTGGCTCAGGCTGCTCAGAGCTGTCGAATGTTGGCTGGCTGTCGTCAGCAAGGACGAGGCAGACACCCCATCATTGAGAGGCGTGATACTGGGAGCAGAGGGGGAATCAGATTTCACTGCGGGGCCTGTAGCACCTGTGGACAAAAGCTTTGGGTTAGGGGCAGCTACCGGCAGCTCACGGAGGGCGATTCAGTGGTGAGGATCAACAGGGAGGTCCGGGGCTTCCCCCGCTGCTGCCAACCAAGTTACACATTTATGGCAGCATGATTGTGTTCTACGTCTCGCTTTACTCCAACAGTGGCTGACACTGGCTCTCCAAAGAGCTTCAAGGCCTATAGATAAGGTGACTTTCACAAACAAATCAGAGTAAATTATTGTCATCAGGGAGTGACTCATCAAGAATCTCATGGATCCCTCAGCAGAAAACTGAATGTTCCAAGGCAAGCAAATAATCTCAGTGGCAGCAATTGGTCCACCAGGGAAAGGACTTGCTATTAGCACAGATAAAGCTTTTCATCCAAAGCAAATACAAGCAGTACAAGAGACTCAGGACACCCACTGCACTGACAGACTCTTACCTTCAACGGCCTGCGTGGTTTGTAACGGCGTGGGTTGTACAGAACTGAAACCATTCTGAGGAAAAAGAGTAAAATGAATACTGGGCATTACAGCTGCTCATTTCCAGAGACAGATCTACTGTCAGCCCCCTCCCACACCCCCTCCTCAGTTGTGGAAAAGTCGTGCTACCAGCACAGATCACCAGGCTTGTCAGGAGCTCAGCCAAGCCCAGTGCCAGCACGACCCCCACACGTGTGCTGGAGGAAACAGTGCAAGAAGTTTCTCTGCTGCTGGTGGTCAAGACTGGCTCACCATCCTCAACCCAAGCTCGTTAGTCAAAACTGGTGTCACTGAACTTGGCGCGCAGCAAGAATCGAATCCCTAAGACAACGCTAAACCCTTTGCCCGAATGCCACTCGGCAGAGGGTAATTATGCGTGACAGGACACATGGCCTGCAATCAACTTAACCGCAGTTAACCCCACTGGCCCGGCCCCAGGTAAGCAGCATAACTAAAAGCTCTGGTAGCAGCCAGAACAAAGCTCTCCCAAGAGTCCACAAGCCACGTGGTGAGGTTGGAGGATCACAGAAACACTTGGTAAACCACTTAGCTTTCTCACGAGACAGTGCTTCACACACTGTGCTTACTCAGCACAAAGGGTGCTATTTCCCTACCTTGGCCTGGGTCAGATCTTTCTGGGGCGAGGAGGAGATTGAATTTGGGTATCGCCTCGTCTGGGTGGATCTCTGTTCGTACAGTGGTCCCTGAGCGCTGTTCTGGGAGGTAAATGTTGCTGTCTGTATTGTGCCGCTCTGGTAACCAGACTCCTGGCTTTGATTGGACGAAATTGTGGATGAAGATTCGCTACAAAGGATAAAAAAAAAGAAAAGGAGTTGATGTTTTCCTCCAAAACATCCCTGCTGTAAGCTGCCGACCCAGACTGGAGGCTCTTTGTTTCACATCTTCAAAATAAAACAGCCCCAAGCATCAGCATAAAGGCACCACACAAAGCAGCTGAGCAAAGCAAGGAGAGAAATGTACCCAGGCAAAGGCTGGGCTGACCCCGGGAGGGTGTTGGCACCTGCCACAGCCTTTCCTCACGCACTGCTGGGCTCTGGGTGACACTTCACGAGCTGCCACTGCTCAAGGGACTGGGCAGATACTAAGGGTCAGCCCAACAGGACACACAGACACTTGGCACTGGCAAGGTGCCATCACTGTAGATACACCTACTCCATTGCATCCGTTTGCCAGGAAAAAGCAGGATAAACCCTGCAGAATCTGTTCCCCAAAGACAAGGAGCAGTTGCACTGGGGATTCCCCTCCTGCATTTCCAGTAACGCAGTTTAACAGCAGCGGGAAGCGTCTGCTTGCCTCGGAGGAGGCTGAGGGGAGACCTCCTGGCCCTCTGCAACTCCCTGCCAGGAGGGGGCAGAGAGGGGAGATGAGTCTCTGGAGCCAAGGCCCCAGCGCCAGGCCCCGAGGGAATGGCCTCAAGCTGCCCAGGGCAGGGTCAGGCTGGCTCTGAGGAAGGATTTCTGTGCAGAAGGGGCTGTTGGGCGTTGGAATGGGCTGCCCAGGGCAGGGGGGAGTCCCCGGGATCCCTGGAGGGGTTGAAGAGTCGGGCTGAGCCAGCGCTGAGGGATCTGGGGGAGTTGGGAAGGGTCAGGGGGAGGTCATGGTTGGGCTGGAGGAGCTTCAGGGGCTTTTCCAACTGAGGTGATTCTTTGATTCTATGCTTTCTGTATAAGTACCACAGGCCAATCAGTCAGAGCTGCCTGAATGAATCTGCTGGCAACTTACACTTTGCTGTTGCATACGTTGTCCCCCCTTTATGACCACGGCACAGTCAGAAAGGGTCTACTAGTATGCAGCGTAACTAAAGTTCACGGGACCAGCTCCCTTCCAAAGCCACCTTCTTGGATTAACTGTTCCCTCCCTCAGCCCTGCTCCTCACCTAGCCGTGCTGGTGTACAGGCTGCTTTGAGCCTGGCTAACGGCGGCACTTGTTGTGGGCGTCGATTCGTACTCCGCGAGAACAGGCTCCGAACCAAACTGTAACGCCCCAAACTGCAGGTTTAGCCCTGAGATATCCGCCGAGCCAGGCATTTCCACTGCAAGCGCAGGAATCTGCAGGGGAGGAGCAAGAGAAAGGGTCAATCACTCCCTGGGATCTACACAGAAAATGACTTCAGTGTCCACATGTCCCAGCAAATACTGGCTTGCATCCTCAGAGTTACACTGTTCAACCCAGGCAGGCTTTTCTCTGTCACCCCCACAAACACCCAACTCTAACAGCAGGAAGACCAAGCCCAGCCCTTCCCCTCACCAGCCCAAACAGATTTTTCTGCAGCTCTAACACAATACAACGCCTCCTTCCTCACCATCCTCCTTCCCCACCATCGAGCCGCACCTTTGATGTTAACGATGCTTTTTTCTTTTGTTGCTTCAGCTTCTGCTGTGCAGGCTGGGGGCTGGAGGACTGGTTATCCGAGGACCCTGGGGACATCTGGGGAACAGGATTGGTTTTGCTGGGCAGCGGTGAGGAAGAGGGTGCCGGCACAGTTGCAGAGGCAGTCACCACAGTCTGTTTCTCCTGCATGAACACTTCTATCATGGTTGAAGTTGACGTGAAGGCCTGACGCTTGGTGAAGGGACTATGCACAGAAGAATCTGTTGGGTTCTTGAGATCTACCGGGGAGAGAGAGCTGAGTTAGCAGGATTTGTCTCCTTCACTAAATCAAGTTCTGACAGTTCTTAGCATCAAGGAAAAGAAAGTCTTTTCACAATATGACTCCTCCTGGAGCCTGTTAATATCAGAGGAGAGAATCTCAACATCTCCACTCCCAACCTTGGCCTCTCACCACCATCAGTGCTGAGCCTTTTAAGCCCCTCTTCCCTCAGCTCCTTCTGCCATCTCTAAGGACAAAGTGAGCTTGCAGAGTGAAATCCTCCAGCCTCCAAGAAAAGCTGGACTTCGGAGTCCCTTACATGGAGGCACTGCATGTCAAGAGTCCTGCACAGGCCTGACAATGCCTCCTCCTTCCACCTCTCTGCCAACATCGCTGCATTTCATTGTCTGCACTTTCCCCTGCAAATACTGGGTATCCTCCAAACACCACCACTGCCTGCAGCTGCCCACCCTCAGGTCTTTGCACGACTGCACCATCCTCCTCCTTCGCTTAAGCCTTACCACAGCTTATTAAAAAACAACTCCTATCTCTCCGACTCTCCTCTGTGGCTCCTTGTCTGAAAAAATCAGGAGCTGCCAACACTGACTGTTACTAGGACAGGGCTTGATTTTTCTTCAGTTTAGATTTGAACCAGAGCCATTTCCCTATAGTGAGAAATAAAATGCACAAACTGAAAGAAATGGCACTAGTATTCGACTGCAGCAGGGCTTGGGATCTCATCTCAAAAGCAGGAGCCTCTCCTAATCACTGTTTATACCCTCATGCCAGCTCAGAGGTAGAGTTACTTCTTGGCATTAAAGAGACACCAGCACTGCATTCCTTCAAAAGATAACATCAGGTCAGCAGCAAGATGAGACTGACAAGTGCTGGTATTCAGGAACTATTCTCCAGAAGTGCCCACCTTCAGACCCTTCTCTGCTACACAGCTTTACACCAGAACTAGTTCTGCACTCTGTGAGGGTCTCGGGAACACCAGATCCCTGGCTCTGAAGCTGGCTGGAGTGACTGAGAGGCAGGTGGATTCAACTGCTCCAAGTATAAAAGGAACAGGGACAGACTCACATGCACTATTACATTTTTACTCTCACAAACTTGCACCCACAGTTCTTTTAATTGCTCTAGCACAGTTGGCTTGGTTGTGAACTCATGATCTGGTCCTCCACTCAATCCCTCACGCCGCTGCTTGTGGCACGTTTCTGCAGTTCTGGGAGAAGATGGTGCCCTTTGGGGAGCCCCGCTGCTTTTCCTTACCATACTGCACGAGAGACGAGGTCTGCGTAGTGGATCGCATGTCCCAGGAAGAAGCAGTGGTGCTCCCGGCAGGCTGGGTGTGCTGAGCAGCCAGCTGAGCCAGAGCCTGCGCTGTCTTGAACTGCTCCAGGAACTGAGAACCTGTGGTACTGCTGCCTTTGGCCTCCCCGACATCTCCAAACCCTTTCCCCAGCATGCTCACCTGCAATTTCAACAACAAAAGAACAAAGTCAACATCTCTCCTAGCTTAGAACTCGGCTCAGAGGACAGATATCTCTTGACATAAGCCTGAGCACACTGTACGCTGGGTGCCTCAGCTTAACTAGTGCTCCAGATGCAGACACCTCTGGCAAGGAGAGCTTGTACTTCTCTCACAGCTTTTACCACATGTGAGTGCAGGTACATTTTCTCTGTTGCCCAACCCAGGGCATTTTACAGTGTCATGGAGGCTTATAAAGAAAGTTAACAGATAGGATCTTAAAAAATGTACTAAATTATTCACATGCATTCAGTTGCACTAAAAAGACAGCCACCAGGAGAACTTGGCTTTACAGTTAAGGCGGTTTTGAAAATCCTTCTGGACCTCTCCCACCACTAAGTACATAAAATTTATTTCTTTTATTGAAGTTACACAAAGGAACATCTGCCAAGGTCCATGCACAGGCCTGATTCAACACTTCCTTCCTTCACCTGTCAGTAGATGCCAACATTTCATCCCACACCAAACTCCCATCCACTTCCACTTCTCAAACTCTTGAATTTCCAAGCCCTGGACTGCAAGAGTTTCTCCTTTCCTCTAAGCAGGAAAGCAGCATGTGTCATAAGTCTGACAAGGGCAACAGGGGAGGAATTATCCCAATTATTTCTAATTAAGCAACAGACTTTATGCCTCCATATTTAGAGCAGACTGGCAAATCACCCACGCAGAGGACTCTGCCACCCCCTAGAAGTGAGCAGGTGACAGAACTGTGTCCCCTGTGTTGCCCAAAAGCAGACAGAGAACATTGGGGAAGCCACCTGCCCACTGGCAGGGCCCAGCAGTTCCTTACCATGCTGTGGTGAGAGAAAGAGTTTCCAGAGGCCGGCTGAGCTATCGCGCTCTGCTTGGAATTGCTGAACACCAGCGGCTGGGCCAGGGAAGGAGCCTGGGATGACTCCAGGTTTGTTGACTCATTCTCCATAGAAGAGGGTGTCTTCCCTAGCAGGACCGCAAGATCGATTCTGGGTAAAGCAAGCAGATAACCCAGAGGTTAACACAAGTGCCAGCACCCCCCTCACTTCCATTACGGAGATATTCTACTTCCAGACTCACAACTTAACGCTTTTAGCTTCACAAATTGAACGAGCCTGCGGAACATTAACTCACAACTGCCAGTAGCAACCTCAAAAGGACAGAAACCAAGCAAGATGCTGCATGGCCTTCTACTTTCAAGCATGCCTTCCATTAATTTAACACAGCGAAATGCCCCCAAATCTGAAGAACCAGCAGCAGAGCCTAGGAAAACTCTAATCCAGGACTAGGACCCGGAAACTCTTAACTTTTCCATTTGAATCCATCTCATTTTATTCAGAGCTCCTGGCATTTTAGCCAGCTGGCAAAGTTTAGTCTGAGATGGCAAATAGCTCTGGGACTTGCGTGTCACTTCTTCCAAATAAACAGCATTGCCATGGGCTATCACCTCTGTCCAGCTGTGATTGTCACATTCTCGGCAGGCAGAGGCACTGAAGACACATTGGAGGCAGTGAAGATCTTTGTCTCAGACAGCTGAAAGATTAAAAAAAAAAAAAGAGAAAAAGAATCCAAAAGTGAAAACAGCATCTCAGGACTCCAAATAAAACACACAACCGTTGGAGACAAACACCCATAGAAAGATTCAAGAAATTCAAGTGTTGAGACTTAAACTTCTCGAACATTTGGCTCCCATCAGAATCAACTTCTATTTCGTGTGTTTCTGCTTGTGCAAGCGCACAACTCGCGTACCAGTGGAAAAAGAACACAAATCCTTCTACAGATTTCCCCCAGTCCAGAAATCCCCTAGAGCTGCTCTGAACTGATGGTAAGCAGCACTGATCTGCAAAGCCCCCTGCACAGGTAGGTGCAAGCATTGCTGGAGAAGTCAAAGAAAAAAGCTTCACACCCACAGTTAAGCTTCCAATGATCCTGGCTTCACCTGGATGATCTGATTCAACTAGAAGGGTAAAGGGGGAAGAGTGGCTGGAGAGCAGCCCTAGGGAGAAGCATTTGGGAGGGTTGGTGGGTGCCTGTGAGCCAGCAATGGGTGCTGGCAGCCCAGAAAGCCACATGTGTGCTGGGCTGCACCCAGAGCAGGTGGGCAGCAGGGCAAGGAGGGGGGGGATTCTCCCCCTCTGCTCTGCGCCCCCCCCCCCCCCC